GTCCTTCACCTCAACACAATTACTACTACCATACAATCCATCAAGAAACACATTCCACCAAAAAAACATATTCCACATCTGTTTACTTCTCTTTATTTTCACTATTTTCTTCCTGGTCACTATTATCCTCAGCTTTAATTCCTGCAGAAGTCTCTCAGCTGGTTGTTTCCCTTCTACCAATGTTCCTTTACAGTCCACTTAAAAACCAGAATAATGCTTTAAAAATATGAAACATTTTTTCAAACTCCCACATCAAACTCTTCAGTAGTCTTCTATTGCATTTAGAATGAAATCTAAATCCCATGGCCCATTAGGTCCCACACAATCTGACTCGCCCTTATCTGTGATGTCTCCCACCTTTATTCTTCACTCCCTATGGTCTTGTCACATTGCCTTCCTAGAATAGGCCCAAATCTTTCCCTCCCTGGAGTCTCTGCCCCTGTTCCCTCATGCTAGAGTTGTTTGTTTCTAGATCTTTGCATACCTGGTGCCTTCTAGTCACTCAGTCTCAGCTCAAACGTCACCTCCTCACTGACATTCTATTGTAAGTAGCCTTTCCCACCCCCTAAACCATTACCTTCTATTACAACATCTTACTTTTATTTACTTCATAGCATGTATCAAAAATCTCATTTATTTGGTTATTTGCTTGTTGCTACTTCCTTCCCCAGTGCTATCTCATGAAGGGAGCATCTACTCTGTCTGGTTCATCCCTCTATTTCTCATGTCTGGCATACATTCAGTACCCACTGAATATTTGTGAAAGGAGCAAATGAACAATGCCTCTCTTGTGTAAATCAATATAATTCTGGCGATATAGAATTCTCATTCTACTAGTCTCAGAGATGGGAAAATATGAAGGTAAAAACCATACTTCTGTGGAGGGTTGCTACAGATCCAGATCTGCACAGTGGAAAACTTATTTCCATAAAAGAAAACAAAGGTTGAATTGTAAGAAATGTTTGGAGATACTTGTGGAGAGTTGTGCCCCCATTCCATGTGCTATACAAGTCTATAGACAACATAAGCCCAAGCCACATCTTGGCTGGTATGCTACTGCTTTCTATAGAATGGGGAGAAAACTCGGTTTGTGCTCCAGTGGAACAGAACTGGTAGCTTGAGATATAGCAGATTAATGCTTTCCAATGTGACAAGATCTCTTGCCCTAGTCTGCCAGAGGGCAGAGACCAAGGACCACATAACCACACAGGCCAGTGTTCTGACTTCTGGCAAATATACAGGCCTGACAGTGAATAATGAGTGAGGCCTGGCAGATTACATGTTGCCCCAAGAAGAGATGAAGAGAAACAGAACAGGGATGGACAAATGCCCATGGGAAAAGAAGAGTATTAGCTCTCACACAAACCACTGTGCCCCGGATGGCTGGCTTAAAAAGAAATCTGGCAGCAAGAAAGGGAACTGAAGAAAGCAAAAAATAGAAGACAATCCCCTCCCCTCTCATTCTTTAAGTTTCTGATGCAGGAATAAAACATTGCTACCAGATGTAGCATGTGATGACATTAATTATCTCATTTTTCCATCATCAGGACAGAATTGATTCATATTATCATTAGCATAAGATTACTTTAGAAAAAGTAGTATATTGCAGTTATTAGTAGTTCAAACTCTAGTCCCACACAAATCTGGACTCAAATTATGGTTTTATCATTTGGAGCCATGACACCTTTTACAATGGGGATACTTTATTACTAGTACAAAAATGGGTAAGGAAAACAGACTATTCATGTAAAAAGTTTAATTCAGCACATGGAACACATAATTCTCAATAAATAATAAAATATAAACAAGAAATAAAATTACTATTACTACTACCATACAATCCAATCTATTTTTTTTCTTCCAATGGATAAAGAAGATGTCCTAAACAAATGTAAATTTTCTCCACAAAGAGTCTATTGGATGTCTTGAATTTGAAAGAAATTGAGAGGCTAGAAAAAATAACTTTTCTCTATCTAAAATTTGTGTATGTCTAGATATGCCCTCGAAGTCAAGCATGAACTGCAGAATTTAATTAAAAGCAATAATCAGTGAATGAATAAATATAATTTTAGAATTAAAGTAGAAACCTTATTCTAATTCAATGTACTATTATTTTCCACTCACCAGTTTAGCAAGGAATAAAAAGCTGAATGATGACTTTTAATAATAACAGTGTGTAAACAGGTACACTGTTGCTGGAAGCATAAGTAAATGCAAACTTCCTGGGGAACAATTTCTCAATTTATGCCAATCACTTTGAAAATGGTTCCTCTGGGCAGCCCAGGTGGCTCAGCGGTTTAGTGCCACCTTCAGCGCAGGGCGTGATCTTGGAGACCCGGGATCAAGTCCCACGTCGGGCTCCCTGCATGGAGCCTGCTTCTCCCTCTGCCTGTGTCTCTGTCTCTCTCTTTTTACTCTCTGTGTCTCTTATGAATAAATAAAATCTTTAAAAAAATGATTCCTCTTTCATCCAGCCATCTCATTCCCAGCAGCTTATCCTAAGGAAATAGTAGAAGAATTACATAAAAGTATATACAAGAGTATTTCATTTTAGGAATTTTTCTAAAAGTCCTTGCCCTCCCCACCCCCGAAAATGTGATAGTCCATTTATTTGAGATTTGCTAAATTATGATAAATATTTTGTAGTCACTAAGAATGACAATGTAAATATACATTGGCATTAAAATAGGCATATGTTATTCATTTAACAATTAGGCTATAGAAAAGAGGGTGAGAAAAAATGAGGAGAGAGAGGGATATGCCCCAAATGAAAGAACAGGACAAAACTTCAGCAAGAAACCAAAATGAAATGCATATAAATAACATGCTGGTAAAGAATTTAAAGTAATAATCATAGAGATACTCACTGGACTTGAGAAAAGAGTGGAGGATATCAGTGAGACTGTTAACAAAGAGTTTAAAGAACCAATAAGAGATTAACACAATAAATGAAATTAAAAATACACTAGATAGAATAAACAGAAGGCTAGAGGAAACAGAGGAACAAATTAGTGACCTGGAAGTAAGAATAATGGAAAGTAATCAAGCTGAATAGATAAGAGGAAAAAAATATGTAAAATGATAATAGACTTAGGGAACTCAGCAACTCCATCAAGATTATAGGATTCCCAGAAGGAGAAGAGGGAGAAGAGGAAGCAGAGAATTTATTTGGAGAAATAAGATCTGAAAACTTCCCTAATCTGGGGAAGGAAACAGATATCCAGATTCAGGAAATACAGAGATCTCCCAACAAAATCAATTTGAAAAGGTCCACATCAAGATGCATAGTAATTAAAATGGTAAAAAGTAATGATAAAGAGAAAATTTTAAAAGCAGCAAGAGAAAAAACAGTTACATTTAAGAGAAACCCCATAAAGCTATCAGCATATTTTTCAGCAGAAACTTTGCAAGCCAGAGAGTGGCATGATATACTCAAAGTGCTGAAAGGAAAAAATCCACAGCCAAGAATACTCTACCCAGCAAGGCTATCATTCAAAATAGGAGAGATAAGGAGTTTTTTATACAAACAAAAGCTAAAGGAATTCATGACCACTAAACCAGCCCTATAAAAAATTTAAAGAGTACTCTTTGAGTAAAAAGGAAAGATTATGAGAAGCAGAAAACACAAAAAGTCATAAAAATATATGTGTATATATACATACATATATTTTAATAAAATATATCTCCATAAAAATCAGTCAAAGGATTCACAAAATAAAAGGATGTAAAATACGTCACCATATACCTAAAACATGGGGGAAGAGGAGTAAAGAATGGGTTCAAATTTAGGCAGCCATCAACTTAATATAGACTTTATATGAAGATGTTATATACAATCTAGTGGCAACCATAAATCACAAACCAGTAAAAGATATGCAAAGAAGATAAAGGAATCCATATCAGCAAAGAAAGCCAGCAAATCATGAAAGAGAGCAAGAGAAGAAAGGATCAGAGAAAAACTATTAATCACAAAACAAGAAACAAAATGGCAATAAATACATATTAATAATTACTTCCAATGTTAATGGACTAACCTCACCAATCAAATGACACGGGTGATGGAATGGACAGAAAAACAAGACCCATCTATATGCTGCCTACAAGAGACTCATTTTAGACCTCAAGACACATGTAGATTGAAAGTAAAGGAATGGAGATTTACATTTATCATGCAGATGTATGTCAAAAGAAAGCTGGGGTACCAATACTAATAACGGACAAACTAGACTTTTTTGACAGCTCATTATTTTTAATATGTGATACTCAAGGTACAAGATAATTGCATCTAATATTATTACAAATAAAAGAGAAATCAGATCAGTCATCAAGGACTCCTGAGTGAACAGCATTTTCATAACCTCCATGCTTATCATCTTTGCTTTCTGGGTGTAATTTGATAAGATCATCAATTTGAAGAATAGAAATTGAAGCTTCTGTCACAAATTTTAAACTCTTAACTTTCACCGTGGTTGGTTCAAATACCCCTGCTTGTTTGTTGTCTTGAGGTTTACCATTGATGAAATCAAGACCAATTCATGTACGATTTTTGTGTTCTGGGTTACCTTGCCCCTCATTATGGAAAGCTCTTAACTTTGCAACTAGGTCTGTGGAGTTTGGGGCAGCATTAACTGCCAGTGTGTTAGAAAAAAATAAGAAGAGATCCTGCAAACTCTCATATAGCAAGCTGTTTCTGAGGCCTCATCTAGTTTTGTAGTTCTCAAAGTATATGGAAGGGGCTGCTTCTATAGTATCCCACCTGGAACCATGGATTTTGACCCCAAAACTCTCTTCAAAACACAAAGAGCATCATGTAAAGAGCACTCCATCTTATGACACATGAAATCATTTGCCCCACATAAGACAATTGATGCAGATGTATGAGATTTAGTGCTATTTAAAAAAGTAAAGTGAAATTCTTAAATCAATGTTTTTATAAAGTAAGTCTATATTCACCATAAGCACCTTGGTTGAATCCTGCTTGCATGATTCAGACAGTAAAGCAATGTCTGGACTTCACAGAAGAGATGAAATGGTTACTCCCATCTCCCTTTGCAAGACCCTAATACTGTTCTCGCTCATGTATATAACTGCTTATATCACTAAAAGACTAGAGCAGCAATCAATGGGAAGGGAAAATATAGACTCTAACAAGAGACAAAAAAGGACACTATATAATAATAAGGGGACAATCTAGTAAGATATAACAATTGTAAATATATATGCACTCAACATGTGAGCACCCAAATACATAAAACAGTTAATGGCTAACACAAAGAACTAATTGATAATAAAACAATAATAATAGTAGAGGACTTTAACAACTCACATCAATGGACAGATCATCCAAACCAAAAATCAACAAGGAAACAGTAGCTTTGAATGACACACTGGATTAGATGGATCCAGCAAATATAGTCAGAAAATTCCACCCTAAAATAGCAGAATACACATTCTTTTTAAGTGCGGATGGGACATTCTCCATAATAGATCACATATTAGATAATGAAATAAATTTCAACAAATTAAAAAATATGGAAGTTAAATCGTGCATCTTTTCTGACTACAACTTTATGCAACTAGAAACTAGAAATAAACCACAAGAAAAGTCTGAAAAATAGCATAAATACAGTAAGGTTACATATGTTTGTAAATAAGGAATGGAACAACAAAGAAATTAAAGAAGAAATCAAAAAGTACATGGAGAAAAACAGCAGATGTTGGTTGGCCTTTCCTTGCATCCTTGCCAATATTTGTTGTTTCCTATCTTGTTAATTTTAGTCATCCTGACTGGTATAAAGTGGTATCTCATTGTGCTTTTGATTTGTATTTCCCTGATGCCAAGTGATGTTGGGCATTTTCTCATGTATCTGTTGGTCATGTGTAACTCTTCTTTGGAGAAGTGTCTGCTCATGTCTTCTGCCCATTTCTTGACTGGATTATTTGTTTCTTGAGTGTTGAGTTTGATAAGTTCTTTATAGATCTTGGATTCTAGTCCTTTAGGTGATAAGATAATTTGCAAATACCTTCTATCATTCTGTAGGTTGTCTTTTAGTTTTGTTGACTGTTTCCTTTGCTGTGCAGAAGCTATTTTATCCTGATGAAGTCCCAATAGTCCATTTTTGCTTTTGTTTCACTTGCTTTTGGAGATGTGTCTAGTAAGAAGTTGCTGTGACCAAAGCCAAAGAGGTTTCTGCCAGTGTTCTCTTACACTTTTGGTGGGAGTACAAGTTGGTAGAGCGACTCTGGAAAACAGTATGGATGTTCCTCAAGAAGTCAAAAATAGAGCTACCCTACAACACAGCAATTGCACTACTGAGTGTTCGCCCCAAAGATACAGATGTAGTGAAATGAAGGGGCACTTGCACCCTAGTGTTCATAGGAGCAATGTCCACAATAGTAAAAATGTGGAAAGAGTCAAGATGTCCTTCCACTTATATGTGGAATATAAGAAACAGTGCAGAGGATCATAGGGGAAGGGAGGGAAAACTGAATGGAAAATCATGAGAGGCTGAACTGAAGGAGAAAAATCACGAGAGGCTCTTAACTATAGGAAAAAAACTGAGGGTTGCTGTAGAGGAGGTGGGTGGAGTGATGGGGTAATTAGGTGATGGGCATTAAGGAGGGCACATGATGTGATGAGCACTGGGTGTTATACACAACTGACAAACTACTGAACAATACATCTGAAACTAATGATGTACTATATGTTGGCTAGTTGAATTTAAATAATAAAAAAAGAAGCAATAGATGTTGGTAAAGATGTGGAGAAAAAGGAACCCTCTTGCAGTGTTGGTAGGAATGCAAACAGCTATAACCAGTGTGGAAAACAGTACAGAGGTTTCTCAAAAAGTTAAAAATAGGGGGCACCTGAGTGGCTTAATTAGTTAAATCCAAATCCTGATCTCAGCTCAGGTCTTGATCTCAGGGTTGTGAGTTCAAGCCCTGTATTGGGCTCCATGGTGAATGAGGAGCCTACCTAAAAAAAAAAAAAAAAAAAAAAAAAGTTAAAAATAGAACTACCCTATGATCCAGGAATCACACTATTGGGTGAAAAATCCAAAAACACTAATTAAGAGGAATACATGCAATCCTATGTATATTGCAGCATTATTTATAATAGCCAACTATGGAAGAAGCCCAAGTGTCCATCCATCCATAGATGAATGGATAAAAATGTGGTATATATACAATGGAATATTATCCAGCCATAAAAAGAAAGAAATCTTGCCATTTGTAACAATATGGATAGATCTAGAGAATATAATGCTAAGTGAAATCAGTCAGAGAAAGACAAATACCATATGATTCCCCTTATATGTAGAATTTAAGAGATTAAATAAAGAAGGAAAGGAAAAAAGAGAGAAAAAACCCCCAAAGAAACCCACTCTAAATTATAGAAAACAAATGGTTACCAGAGGGGAGGTGGATGGGGGAATGGATGAAATAGAGGAAGGAAAGCCCCACATTGGGCTCATTGCTGGGCATGGAGCCTGCTTCAGATTCTCTCTCTCTCTCTCTCCCTCTACCCCTTTCCCCTTAAAAAAAATATTTTTATATATATGACCAGAAAAATGCTTGGAAGGATATACTACAAAACACTATCTTTGGTGACAGGATTATAGTTTAACTTTATTCATACATTTGTATTTTTAAAACATTTTTATAATGTCCAATTTCATTTTTACATATATTAATACGGGCTACATGTAATTATTGGTTCTACATTCCTTATTGTCTGCTTTCTCTTTTTATTTAATAGATCAAAAACTATTCTATAAAGAAGTAGTACCTAGACCTTAATATTTATAACACAAAGGCCCTTCAAATTATATTGAGGTCCTTAGGCAGGAATAATACAAAGTATCAGTTAATATTTTCCTGTGCTTACGAACATGATATTAGATATTTGAGATATAGATAGATAGATAGATCAAATAATTTTTAAAAGGAATAAAAAGAAAACATTACAAATTAATGTTCTAAAAAACATCAATGATTTTTGGTTATTTATTTAGAGTATTATCAGCATGTGTTTGCTGAACCTAGTCCACAGTCACTTTTTGCTTTGCCTTATCAGGACAATTTATAGTGTGCTATTAATTTTTTTCTTGTCTCTTTTTACTTGACCAAAATATTGGTTTGACCAAATAGAAAGGTAGAGAATGCAGTGGTGCAGCACTGACTGGGAGTCTTCTTGCCTATTTTCAATGTGTTTGTCAAGAAAAGTCACCTAGTGTTCTGGAAACTTATAAAGGATAAAATATGACACCAATGTATTGGAAGCATGTAAGTAGAAACATAATGGTAGTGAGAGTATTCTGAAAATCTGTCATTTCAACAAAAAAGATTTAATTCAAAACCAAAGAAGAAAAAATAGAGTTGCAAATGAATATTTTTAAAATCAATATTGAAAATTCATTAATTTTTCAAACCAGCCAGAACCTTAAAAAGTACTGTATTTTTTTCCCACTATAATTCATGTCATCACTAACACGTAGAACATAAAAGTTGACTGCCTCTTGCCTGTCTTGGGTGTTAGTCAGGTTGTAGCAGCCTGAGAACTCAGCTTTTGGCAATAAAAATAAATTTTCATTTGATTTCTTTTTCTTCTTCCTTCCAAGTCACTGTGTATTTAGTTAATGATTTTGATGCCATTTGGACCAAACAGAATAAACTTTCAGCCAAATGTACAGCTTATTGCATGGTATGTTTAGAATCAGGTCTATACTGCCAAAGTGAGAGAGAAAGTTGGATAAATCCGAGTAATACAAACAGCTCCTCTGGAAAATCCTAAGCATAAAAACTTGCCTTGTCTGTCTGGAATTACCTGAATTATCAGAAATTGTTCATTTGTACATAAAAATAGTTTCCTCTCTGACAAAGTCTTTGTATTTTAGGAAACCAACTGGATTTGTTTTCCCTATCCACCATTCAGCTGGAATGGGTTGGCCAAAATAACACGTTAGAATATAATGACACAGTGCAAGTCTTCAACACCCAAGATTATGTGAGTTCTCTGTTAGAAGAAATACCAAATAAGGCTTAAATACATTATAAGGCAAAGCTTAAAACTAAGGCATAATGGAAAAGAGACAAGATCTATTCAACAAGTGTTTATTAATGTCTCTACATTACATATACATAGCATATTCATATATTAACAACAAGCTATCATTTGCTTCACACTTATGGCACGTCTGGCTTTCTGCTAAGTGCTTTTTAAAATCTCATTTGATCCCATATATATAATCTGGTGAGAGAAATAATGTTATTATCTCCATTTATAGTTGAGAAAACTTAGAGAAGTTAGGAGACTTACCCAAGTTCATATAATCTAGCACATGATTAAACCAGACTTTGAATCCATGCAGTCTGACTTCAGAGCCTTGGTTTTAACCATTACACTATCCTACCTATAGCAGTAGTAGGCATTGAATAAACCAGAAAGAGGCAAAAGCCATATTTCCTCCCCACCCCACCCACCCGCCTACCTCAATCCTCACCATGGAATTTGTTTTTTGTAATAAAGCAACTTCCTAGAAAGAACAGATTGAGAAGAAGATTGGTTCACTTTGAAGAGACCCAAATTTTTTATATTTCTAAGGTCAATTTGCTAACAATCGAGGTGTCACAGGCTTATTACTGTTTCAAGCAACAAATCCCACTGACTGCTACTTCATGCCTCATTTTGACTTGAAAGAGCAGAACTTCCAATTCTAGCAAAATGCAATAGGTATATTTTTTCCTATTCTTCTCACTAAGTAAAACTAAAATTTGTGGACACCATAGGAAGAACAACATAAGATGACTCTGAAGGGTGGAGGGAAGAAAAGGATGATATAGGACTTCAAGACAGAAGGAACAACACAGAAGTGAATTACCTGGGGTTTCTTTTCATCACATATATCCTAGACTTGGAGTTGAAGAAGCCAAAAACCTAGAAATGCTGATGAACACAAATCTAAAATAAAATAAGATAAAATTGAATTACATTAAATTAAACAAAAAGTAAAATGTTCTGATAAAAGTTCTGTCAGGCCAAAGGACTAGGGAAAGGGCAAAGTGGCAAGACAGAAAGCTTTTAGATAATAGCTATTTTATTACAGACAAACAACGCAGAAAAACTATGG